CTACAACTAGGGCTGTGGGTTCATACCAGCTCTGCCTTCCACCACACACAGCCAGCATCCACCCAGCCCACAGCATCAACTTTCCAAGGAAGAAGCAAACCAGGAGCCTGTTGCTATGAGCACGGTTCTGCTCCCATCCTCAGGAGACTGCACTGTAAGGTGAAGCATTGGCTTTTCTCAGCAGATGGAATGCTTCAGGCTCCACTTGTAATTAGCATTAGAAATAATAATGACTGGGATTAGAAAAGGCTGAGGATAGCTTGAAGGTTTTATACAGGATGAAATGGAAAGTCATGGTGCATATGTCTCAGGTCTTGCGCTGACTTAGTGCTGCTGTGATTTGTTAACGAATATATTCTCAGCTTCAGCAGGAGGTGGAGACAGTACTGGGCTCACGGTAGTTCTTCACAGTTTGCAAGGCCTATTCATAGCCCCAAACAAAAATAGTAGGCATACATACTATATACCTACTATACTACAATTGTATGTATACAGAAACTATAAGAGTTTGGCTTAGCTAGCAAAAAATCATTAGCAATGTACCTTAAAGAAAATCAGAACACTTTGACACCTTTGAATAAAATTTTATTACTACCATGGTTTCCTACCAGTGAAGGGTAGAAGCTGGTATTAGGCATGCATAAACAAAACTGATATAAAGAACACCATATCCTTTGTGAAGATCAATTAAGGAAGCTTTTCAAGCCAGACGGGTGTATTTAAGTGGTTCCATTAACTGACTTCTATGTCCTTTTACTGATTGGCTTTATTCAGGTATGCAAAGTTAGGGTGTGAACAGCTATGGGCAGCTTAAGATTTTTCTCTCCACGTGAAATTCTTATGGGAAACTTCTTGTTAAAGAGGCTTTTTTCATGACCTTTTGGTCTCCAGCATTTTCATAAATGGCTTCTTGCTGGGAGGTAGTGAGCTACGACTGAGGTTCACCAACCAGGTGCAATCTGCTGTGAAGAAGAATATGAAGCAACTGAGTGAGTGTAACACTTACAGTCACATTACCAGCATGCTTGTGTTTTTCCAGTGGGAGCATTGCTTTCCATAAACTTCCTTTAAAATGCGGTTTTAAGTACAGTAAAATACGTTTTGGTTTCAGTGGTGTGCTGGTGATGCAGCCACTAAACCCAACCCTCCCAAGGGAGGGAACAGTCTCCTCCTTCGCTAACCCCATCCCTGTCCTTGTCCCAACCCTCTGCATGTGGCCCCACGCATGACTGTACCCCAGAGCAGTGGCACCCTTCAGCATGCTGTGCGAATGGAAGCAGGGTACAAAGACAGGCAAATTCATCTTCCTTTGCTCTTTAGACCATGGTTAAAAAAGTATATCTAGATTAAAAGAAGTGTTAATAAGTTTACCTACATATGGCTGATTCATGTAAGAACAACAGAGAAATGGGTAGGGTAGGGTAGGGCAAGGTAGGGTAAGGTAGGGTAGGGTAAGGTAGGCTGAGGAGGAAACACAGGACACAGGGTGTGTGAAAGTCAGCAGGAGAAGCCCTTCTGTGCTCCATTAAAATAGGGCAAGATGCTGCCCTGAGAGTTCTGACGAGTACAGGAGTCAGCTGTGAGGAGCAGCACACAGCACTGGCCGCCTGTTAGCTGCTGATGCTAAGAGGTTTTAAAGCCTTGTTTGCACAGGTTATTGTAGAACTTCACGTAAAATCATAGAATCAGCTAGGTTGGAAAAGACCTTTAAGATCATCAAGTCCAACCTTTACCCAAGACTGCCAAGATCACCACCAAACCATGTCACTAAGGGCCTCATCTACAGGGATGGTGATTCCACCACTTCCCTGGGCAGCCTGTTCCAATGCCTGAACACCCTCTCAGTGAAGAAATTGCTCCTAATATCCAACCTAAACCTCCCCTGGTACAGCTTGAGGCTGTTACCTCTTGTCCTATCACTTGTTACTTGAGAAAAGAGACCAGCCACCTCCCCTCTCCATCCTCCTTTCAAGCTGTTGTAGAGAGCGATAAGGTCCCCCCTGAGCCTTCTCTTCTCCAGAATAAATAACTCCACTTCCCTCAGCCTTTCCTCATAAGACTTGGGCTCTAGGTCCTTAACCAGCTTTGTTGCCCTTCTCTGGGGCATATTTTGATATAGTTCAGTGATCACTATTCCCATTTTCTCCCTAGCAGGGATGCTGTTATGTAGATAAAGCTTCATGCATAGCAAGGTTTCTGGTGTGCCTACTTTACCAACAGAGCTTGCACTGTCTACCAAAGATATGTTTTTGCATCATCAGAATTATAATACTTTAAATCTGAGGGTAGAAACCATTTTTCTGCTATACAAGTAGGTTTTATTGATGACAGTTTTCCTCATATTAACCTGAGTGGCTATTACTGTCTTTATACCATAAACTGTGCTTACTGCAAGGGTGATACTGTTATTTCAACAAAAGTCCTTCTCCTGACTGAAATAAATCAGTGTAGATTCACTGCAGAAAAATCTTGAAAACTTGTATATGAAAATTGGGTTTAATTTGCATTAAAATGAATAGTCTTGAAACTTCCAATGCAGTCAGGTAAAGAACCTGTTTAAACATCCTATGTGCACACTTAAGCATACAGCTTGAGAATCACTTACCCTCCTCAGTCGCAAGTGCTTCTCTGCCTCCCCCCACAGCTGTCTTATCAGCACAAACATTCACAAAAGCCCAAGGACAGAGCTCCTATTCACATTTTCATATTGCTACAAAACAAAACAGAGCAAACCTAAACCCAAACCCAAACCAAACAATGGCATCTTTTGATGGGTGTTTGAAGTCTGATCTCATCTCTGCCTGCCTTATGCTTGAACAAGCTCTCATGTGGAAATATTAACTGTCACTTAGCGAGGCCACGTCCAACTGATGTTATTTGTCAGGGGAAATGACAGTACAGAGCCACCAACTCAATCAGTGTTTTGAGCTGCCAGTTTCCTGCTTGAAGGAGAAAGGAGCGATGTGGATGGGTGATGCTGAATTTCAGGGTGATTCTGGTTCAGAAGGCAGAAATACCCCTTGGTTGAAGCTGAATATCCTGCTTTGTGAGCCCCACCTCCTCCACAGCCAGCTGAGCAGCATCCATTAATTTATCTAGCCTCTTCTGATGACTAAGGGAACAGGAAGATTACAGTTTAAGTATATAATTTTCATTTGATGTGACAGGTTAAAGCTATGTGCATTTAGAGAAGGCTTAGATTATTTTAGTTCAATTACAACACTGATTTAGGCCCTGACTCACTCTTTGAGGCCTGACTTCATGTAGAAATATGTTGACTTAAATTTACTGCAAGGGAAATATAGGCATATGTTTACATGACTCTGCTTAAATGTTTTGCTGGTGTAGGGGTGGGCTTACACTGCAAGCACAATCCTGAATCAGAGGTATCAAGAAGTAGATTTTACTTGGGATTTTTTTGTTGGTTAGTTGGTTGGGGTGTTTTTCAGGACAAAGGCTAGATATTCCAGAGTCTAATTTTCTTCCTCTTGTGCCCCTCCCAGACATTAGCCTGTGTAATCTCTGAGCACAGTATGTGCATTTCAGTGTACTGAATACTCCCAGGTCTCCCTGGCTTCAATAATAGCTGGGCAGGCTAAGAGCTTGGAAGAAGCAAACTGCTGAAACCCACAGAGCAAGCTGGGAGCAGTAACCTCTCGCTGCCATGGCTGAAGGGAATATATTTCATATGATTGCCTTAGCAATCCCATTTCAGTATGCTCCTTGGCTAGGAATGCCCAGAGGGCAGTGGGTGAGTGATGGGATGTGCAGCAGCTTTTTGGAGCAGTCTTCTGCAGCAAATCTGGAAGTGGATCTGAACCTTACTTGTATTTCTCCTGCAAAGTCGAACAAGCAAACAGCATTTTGTATGTCTCCTTAACTACACCTATCCATCTCTAGCCTTTGTGTGGAGGGGGAGGAGAAAGTGAGCTGCCAGCAGCCCATAGTGATTGATTCAGCTCCTGTTTTTTATGCTGCACTAGAACAACCTGTTTCAAAAATGACAATCACAAATCAAAGCAAATTCTTCTTGCTAGAAATTAAAACTCCGTGAATATTTAATGGGTATTTTGCTATTAAGTGAGCTGCCTTATCCATAACATTGATTCAGAAGTGTTCTTTTTTGCTTGAGCTTGAAGCCCTTAGGAGAGAAATGCATTTCCCTGAAGCCATTTGCTTCAGTAATTGTTGTCATGTGAAACTGTCATTGATTGCTATCCCCAGGGGATGGCTGGCATATATACAAAGGTAAAAATGCTGCACTTCTCCACTTGCACCAAGAAGTATTGGAAGTGGCCCTGGAAAGGGATCAAACATCTTACCTGGGCTCAAACAGACCTAGAGCAAAGTCTTGCGGGTTGTCCTGAACGCAGGCTGGTGCCCAAACAGCAAAGTGTCAGTGTTCAAGCAAAAGGGGATACGAGGAGAGGGACAACGAAGCGATGGAGCAGAAAGAAGAGACTGAGGATGGATGGGGGGACACAGAGGATGGTGTTTGCTCCGCTTTGCCCTTTTTACCAGGTTGTCATTCCTCATCAAGGAAAATCCTGTGACTCCCAGGGTGCCTCAATGCAGCCTTTTTAACAGAGGGAGATTTCTCTCCCACTGTGCAAATCAAGGCAGTGTCACTCGTAATTGGGAGTGCAGAACTGAACTTTCCCAGCCCTGAGAAGGGGTGGCTCTGCTCTGACACGATTTCCAGCTCCGTGAGCACCACTCCTGCGCCTCCCATCCAAAATACCCAAAATAAATACATTTGCAGATAGCTCCTAACCTTCCCTTCTCTGCCGATGGAGCTGCAGCAGTACGGTTGGTCTGTTACCTACGGGAGAGAGGGAGGGAGGCAAGCAGAAGGAGGAAGAGCGGGAGGGAGGAGGGAGATAAGGAAGAGACAGGCGGGGAGTTCGGGTTACCGCTGCTGCATCACTGCCTTCCCTCGCTTCTCGCTCCGGGGACACAGGCGATCATGCACCGCCACACTCGGGATGTCTGGGCTGTGGGGCGATCAGAGGAGACTTCACAAACAGTAGCCGGTGCCCCGCAGTAGGAAGAGCAGCCCACCCGGTGCAGCTCCCGCGCAGCACAGCCAGAGCCGCTGAGGATGCACTGCAGCGCCTGAGGTGAGGAGGTGCCCGCTTCTTTCCCTAACTCCAGCTGCAGGCATGGCTGTGGGCAGGGGAGTCCGTTCGCCGAGGGACGTGTCCCTGCACCCACAACACTGCCTTTCTGAAACCGGCTGGCGGCCGCGGCTGGGTTAGAGGAGTCGGATATGAAGGGGCCAGCAGGTGCGGACACTGTGTCAAAGACCAGGGTTGAAGTCGGGACCTCCCTTATCCAGGGAAGTGAGTTCCCTGAGCTGAGCAGCATGCGGCCCCATGGCACATGGGGTTCAGCTGAGGGATCCTGACTGCAGTGCCCATCCTCTGGTAAAATGGGTGATGGGGTGCACATCATGCTAATTGTCATGAGGAGTGGACTGTTTTGATAGTAAGAAGGTAGTAATAACTAATCTTGTTTGCCAGAGGATTTAGTTTGTGTTTTAATATGGGGAAATATTTTGGCAGCCTGTAAGCTGGGACAGGTTCAGAGATAAAGAACAGGATCAATTAGGACAAATACAGGTTTTTCCTCACTGTCCTGTGCATTTGCTGAGACCTTGGATAAAACTCTTAAAGAGAAGATCCACGAGGTGCAGGTAAGTAATAAAAAAAGCAGCTGTTGGGTCTGATCCTCCAATACTGTGTATAACCAGCACTTTTAAAGCCAAGCAGTTATTTACGAAGGATTTGCCAGCATGAGGTCCCCACGGTGGGATTTCTGTTCCCCTTCTTTCTTCCTTACCCCTGCTAATCAAGAGAGAAGTTGGACGCTGTCCCCCCAGTTAGCACTGGCACAGGGCTGGGTGGTGAGGGGAGCCTGGGTGGCTGTCGTTGGGCTTTCTCTGCCCTGGGTAGAAACTACATGGTGCCCAGGAACATTATCCTCCAAAACTACTAGACTGCTTCTTGAATAAACATGTACATGCAAATACTTAGTTCAACTGTTTATTAAAGATTTAAGAGTGACATTGGAATGTCTTTATTGGTGACTTTTCCTGTTCTCAACATTTTTTGTGCAATCTGCATAGCCATATCTTCTCTGCAGCGCTCTTTTACTTCTTTCTTCATGTATTTTGAGATTGCTTCTGAGGGAGAAGAGCAAGAGCCTCATCCCATCTGAAACACCATTTTCGGGTTTATTTTTCTTTTTTTTTATTAATCCAGTTGAAAATCCCAATGTGCAGCACTGTTTGTAAATGAGAACCATAGAAACATAGAATCATAGAATCACAGAATGGTTTAGGTTAGAAGGGACCTTAAAGGTCAACCAGTTCCAACCCCCTGCCATGGGCAGGGGCAAATAATTTGTTTTGGTGGACACAGACACATACATACAATTTCTAAGAGTGATTTTTCCATAGCTCAGAGATCTGGGCTTTTGGAGTCCTAGCATTGACAGCAAGAGCTTAAAGAAGAAATTTTCTCATCACTTTATTTGTTTATGAAGATAAGAGGGTGGCTGTGAGTTGAATTTTGTTCCTATTCAGCACAACGAACCACATGGGTTTATACAAGGTAAGGTTGCTATGATTCATCCCATTGTGAAGAGTTGCTTATTGTTAATGAGATCTGGAGTTTTGAATATAGCAAGGAACATAGTAATTGTAGTCAAATTGCTGATCCACAAGGCAATTTTTGAAAAGTTAAGTATGTCCATTAGCATCAGTGATAAATGGGAAATGGGGGTATTGTTGGAATAGAGGGAGCATTAGAAGATGGGAGACTGTTGGCATTGACGAGAAACCTGGAAAGGGATGCTTGTACACAGTGGGTGAAGGGAAGACAAAGATAGAAGGAGAAGACTTTTAGGCTGAATAACTGGAAAATGTGAGTACCAAGGCAATAAATGGTCCTTTTTGAGAGGAGAAGGAGGGAGGGCCCCAGAGGCAGATGTCTCTTTGCTGGTGGTCTGCTAGCTGTGATTGGAAAGTGGAAATGGGTTAAGTCAAAACTGACCGAATATGCTCCTACAAAGGACAAAAAAACCTGTGCACCAGGGGCTGTCCTCTGTCCTGTTCAGTTTGTCTGTGATGGTAGTTCGAGCTTAACAACAAAGTGCCTGACAGCCCATATTGCACCCTCACTGCAACAACTTTCTCCTTCCTGAAAAAGGGGTTTAGTCTAACTAAATATCCAAGCTGACATTCTGGTGGGCTTTTTAGGGCCAGGGTTCATCCAGGGAATTTCACAGGCAGCTTGGAAAAGCAAACTGGTATTTTAAGGTGGAAGTAAGTTTTCTTGGCTTGGCTAAAGTCCCTGGAAGTACATTTCTTTTTGACTCTTCGGGTGCAGTACTTCTGTGACATTATGGGAGCAGCTTCACCTCCTGCCGAACTTTCTGCTGGTTTTGAGAGCAAAACTGTATTGTGGTCTAAGGTTACTGTTTGGCTTTTCCAAGCAAACGTCATGAGCAAGCGGTCATGGTTGGGTGGATGAAAAAAAAACCCCAAAAATAAAAAAAGGGAAAAAAAAGGAAGAAGAAAAGGGAGAAGGTTTTGCTGTAAATAAAGTGCCTAGCAACTCAGTGTTTATATGATAGAAACTGGTATGTGTGAAGCAGAGGAAAATGTCTTGCTTTGACTTGCTGATGGACTGATAAGAAGAGACAATTCTGATAGCAGAGGCTGATAAGAGGTAACAGAGGCTGATGAGAGGTAGCAGAGGCTGATGAAAGGTAGCAGAGGAAAAAAGATTTTCTATGGTCTGACAGTAAGGACAGCAGAAAAATATTTACCCTTGTCCCATATCCTTTTCCAATTTCCATCTTTCTTGCCTGCTAGTCTTGACGTTTGGTTTGGGCAAGACATTGTTAATCCACATTGCCATACAAAGTGAAAAGTGGCATTTGAAAGTGCCAGGATGGGGCATTTAGCCTCATCACCCCAGTGGTTGTTCATGTGCAGTTCTTTCAGCTGGAAGCAGCACCACGGATTCAGGAGGCTCCGTGGGGCTCTCCCACAGAGTATACAAGGCAGAGTGAGCCAGGCAGTGCTCCTGGGGATGAGGCAGGGTAAGGCTGTCCCTGTGCAACCCTTCATATTGAGTAGTTCACCATCACTGTCTTTGGTAGTCCTGCATGGGACTCAGTGGGCTCTGCTGTTCCTGACAAGGTCTGGTAGGTGCTGGGCATTGTCCTGCTTCAGGAGTGGGGGAACAGCAGAAAGTTTCTGGGCTCCAAGCTGGCCCCTGCTCCTCTGAAATGCTTGCATTTAGGAAAAACTGATTGCTTCCTGCTGTACTTGACATGTTCTTGTTATCTGCACATGTTTAATCTCTCTGTTTCCTGCTGAGCTTCTGAGAAAGCAATCTAGAGGCTTTATTCTGAGGAAATCAAAAGTTAGCAGGTATTACTAGTGCTTTACTAGGGCATGTTACTTTCGATTATTGGGCAAGGAAAATGGGAATATTGCTGCCAACTTTAACTGTGCAGTATTTGAGGTTGTAACTCCTGTTTACACACTTAAATGGTGCCTCTGTTTTTGGGTCTGCCAAGTGGCAGCTGTTTTATCTCTGTTTACAGAGCAGGGTGGTCAAAAGCACTTTGGTCACTTGTGGTTCAGGTTGTTCCCTGGCTGATGTGTGCAACCTCAATGCAAAGCCAAGGCTGACCATCCACTGGACTCAGTGGCATGACTGTGGCTTTGTCCCAGAAAAATTAAGAAAACTTTATTTCTTTAAATTGATATCTTGAATCTGATGATTCTCAGGGGGACTCTAGACCTACTTACCTCTCTCCGCCTCAGGCCAGATTGCTTTTCCTGACCTATACGGCATATAGTCTTGATCTCTTGGTGCATTTTAGATAATTATACTCATTAACAGGCTTAAAGGAGGTGCCAGATTAATTTTGATGAAATAAATAGGCTTCATCACAGGAGGTAGCATGGCCCTGTCACTGTGCAACAAGGAGTTACACAGGGGTCAGTGGTGTGAGCAGAGAGACCCCGGAGCCAATCTGCTTACTGTGGCAGGATGTGGGGGGAAGTTCATGCCTGTGGTGGAAATAGGAACTTGAAAAGTAGAGGGCTGCAGTGTGACTGATTTGAATCACAGACCTCAACTCCCTTCTTGTTCTCTTCATGTGTTCATTTCAGGCCTATGAAAGAGAAGCATTGGGCTTGCCGGCACCTGTAGCCCACATTGCTCGAGTCCCAGGATTTCATGCAAACCCCTTTTGGATCTGCAGAGAGCCATGAAACACCGTGCCAGCCAGTTTAAACAAACTGCTCTCTAGGACACAAAGAAGGTAACTTTTTGGCAATACCCTACCTGAAATATTTCCCAGTTGAAATAATAGGAGATGGAAAAAGTTTCGAGATAATTGCAAACTGTAGTTTCTGACTCAGGTCAGAGAGAAAAATCAAGTATAACATCATGCAAAAGGATTCTCTGTAAGCCCAGAAAGATTTGTTTTGATGCAAAACCCCTGGATGCTGTTCAAAATGACCTCTAGAAAAGAGATTGGTTGCTAGTTAAGTCTCCTTTTCTTTCTGGACCACCTCCTGTATACTTATTGTTCCCTTAATATTGATGTCTCCAGAACTGTTCCATGGAGATATGTGCATGCAGGCTGGAAATCTTGAATCACAGACTGTATTGTTTCCCAGATGGAGGCAAATGAGGAAAGATATAGTGACAAGTAATTTAGAAACCATAGGCCTTTTCACATCTAATCTATGCCTGTATCTCTGTTGTAGAGAAAGTTACTTTAGGCTGGATGGTGATGGTTTTGCTAAATGCAGTCCTAGCCATGTTGTCCTGTTGCAACTTAAAAGATGCCATTGTTTTCCATACATTCTTCCCATACAGCAGATCTCCGGAGCAGTGGGGGAGACAGATTATTTGCTTCACCCAGGAATCTGAACCTGCTGTTCTCAGGTAGGATGAGGGATAGGAAAGGTGCTCAGTATCCCAAGGGTAAGGAGGCAATAATTTAATTCCCTGAATACGGCAACTAAATTAGTTCCTGTATCCAACCTGCCCATGTTAATGTAAAATATTTTTAACTTTCACAGTTTTCCCTATTCACCTGAAATCAAGAATGAAATTGATGATTTTAAAAGAAAAATGAACTAAGTGAGAGGAAGCTGGTTGTCTCTCTGTCACCTTTTTCTTTGTGCTATTTCAGTAAATGCCAGCTCTGTAATATACTGCTAAGGATGGGTCCTTAGGACACCAAGGCTGTACCCATGCAACAGACCTGCACCAGTCACACCACAGGCTCCTGCTGGCCACAGGGACATCTGGGGCAGCTCTTCACTTCTTAAGCTCCAAGGAAGAGACATTAAAGACAGGCCCATTAGGAGAGACACCTGTGTTCAGCCATGCATTTTCTGGGTTTGCCTGGAGAGGGGAGCTTGGGGAACTGGTACTCTTCATCAGACACTGCAGTGACAGGACAAGGGGCAATGGATTTAAACTTAAACAGGGGAAGTTTAGATTAGATATAAGGAAGAAGTTCTTTACTGTAAGGGTGGTGAGGCACTGGAATTGCTTGCCCAAGAAAGTTGTGAATGCTCCATCCCTGGCAGTGTTCAAGGCCAGGTTGGACAGAGCCTTGGGTGACATGGTCTAGTATGAGGTGTCCCTGCCCATGGCAGGGGGGTTGGAACTAGATGATCTTTAAGGCCCTTTCCAACACAAACCATTTTATGGTTCTACGATTCTATATTGAGGAAAACTGTTCCAAGAGTGAAATAGGGAAGAAACAGTATTGCAACAGCAGATGGGGCACAGTCTTTATGGACAAGGAGTAAGAGACTTCTCCATTGCACGTGGTCCAGGGCTTGCATGTCTCTGCAGGGCTGGGGATCATGGTGAGGAGCTGCAGCTGGGAGAGTCCCGAGTGAGGTGCAGTAACTGATGTTTTAATTCAGACATGTTTTAATTAGTGCTTTACTTATTCGGATGGCTCCCTCCTACATGTGGCTGCAGAGGCAGAGAGAGCTGAGACATCAAACTGGGGAGGCCCAAGGTGCTATGGTACGATCTGGGTCCTCACAAGCCCTCTCTCCCAATCCCCTTTGCAAATACCTCTGTGGGTAATTGCAAATGTTTCATCTGAGAAAAAAAGTACACCATTCCTACCAGTTCCAGGTAAGCCCAAATTTGCCTCTGGTGATTAAACTGATGACATAAGCTAGTATTTTCCAGCTTTCACACGGCCACAGGAGACTGCACTCTGAGGAGTGTGCATTTCTTACCAAGGCCACTGCCTACCCACTGATGGTAGGCAGGGACCTGCTGTGAAATGATGCATGTACATATGTGTGATTTGCAAAATCTAGAAAATGTGTTTTACAATTTACATAAATTTACAAACATTTGCACTGTGTGTGTGTGATTATGTACCTATATAAGGTTTGCTGCTGCATACATGGACTGAAAAAGGAAGACAGTCTGGCTGTGGATAGGCAGTATGGTAAATACGTGCTTGAACACACACTGGGAGGCTGCTCTTCCAGCTGTCCAGAACAGGGACCTTTTAAATTTTTCTTAGATCTGTTACCAGTGCCCAAACCTGGAAACAAGTAAGAAGTAACTGTGGTCAAGTCTCATTAGTATGATTCTACTGAAATCTGGTAAAATTAGTATGTTATGTATTTCTGAAAAAGTTTTAATGGTTTTTAACAGAAAATTGCTCTCATTTACTTTCTTAGTTCAGTATTGAAGGACTTTTGCTTGTACATATGTCCTGGTTTAACCCCAGCTGGCAGCTAAGCCTCACACAGCCTCTCACTCACCCCCCACTGAGAGAACAGAGAGAGAATCTGGAGGGTAGAAGTGAGAACGCTCGTGGGTTGAGATAAAGACAGTTTAATAGGTAAAGCAAAAGCTGCACATGCAAGCAAAACAAAACAAGGAATTCATTCACCACGTTCCATGGCCAGGCAGGTGTTCAGCCATTTCCAGGAAAACAGGGCTCCATTACACATAACAGTTACTTGGGAAGGCAAACTCTTAACATCCCTCCATTCATTATTCTTCCCCCTGCTTCACAGGCTGAGCATGACCCCATATAACATGGGATATCCCTCCTTGGGTTAGTTGGGGTCAGCTGTCCCAACTGTATCCCCTCCCAGCTCCTTGTGCACCCTCAGCCCTTGCTGGTGGGGTGAAGAAGAAAAGGTCTATGTGTAAGCAACTGCTCAGCTATAGCTAAAACATCCCTGAATTATCACTACTGTTTCCAGCACAAACCCAAAACACATCCCGGCATCAGCTACTGTGAAATGCATTAACTCTACCCCATGCAAAACCAGCACCCCATAATACTGGAACTCATGTGACAGAGAAAGGTCAGACCCTCAAACAGTCTTGTGAGAGCTGGCGACAGGAGTGAACCTCTTCTGCAGCTCTGTTGTCAACTCCAGAACATCATCCGTTCCTGAAAACGCTATTTTCAGGGTATTCATGTGCTTCCTCCCAGGCCACTGAAGATGAACAGATGCACAGCAGATTTTGTATAATCCTTTTTTTTTGTGTGTGTGTGTATATATATATGTATGCATATGTATATTATCACACAACTTTACTTATGTATTTAATTAAAGCAATTTTAAAGTTAACCACAAGACTACTATGAGGTATACATTCAATAAAAAACAGATCTGAGGAATACTGTATTTAAAGATACGGTTAATTTAAAGAAGAAATGTGAACTTTAGAAATATTTTCAGAATTCATTAATCACTGCAAAAATGCATTTAATTGGGAGGAATTTCAGCAAGTCAGGACTCCAATTCTGTTTCAGGCATTTGAGAACACCAGCTAAAGTTAATGGGACTATTCTTATGGGTAAAATGAGCTGAATTTGGTTCCAGGAACCTGCAATGCAGGTTAAGCCTTCAATTCTAAAGCTTTTCATTGCTTGGAAAGGGGAATTCAAGCAAAAAGAGGGCTCTAACATGGTTTTAGGGAGTCTAGGCAGAACATTACAGTCAGAAGGCACAGATTTTCCATGAAATCTACAGATCTGGGGATTGTAAAGTTGGTTTTCTCTATTTTTAGATAGGAAGCCAGATTCAGTTCTTCATAAAGAAGGGGAGAAGCAGGAATGAATGCTTTTTCCCCTGGTAAAATTCCCCCACCCTAGTGCTCTAAAATAGTAGTTGATGGGCATGTGGGTTAATGGAATGGGTAACTGAAGCATTATATTTTTCTCACCAGGTTAATTTATGGAGATGTGTATGTTTTTTTTTGTCTCTTTTTGGATTTGCTTTGATAATTTTTCTCTCTCAAAATTTATTTGTAACCAGATCCACAGCACTTTAATCTGTTACAAGGATGAATGAATGCACATCATTGTTACTGTTTGAATCCCTTTCATGCAGAAAGGAGAGGTGAGTACGGACAACCCCTTCTCAACTCAGCACCACCACGTGTGTCACCTAAGCTCTGCAAAAGGTGAAGCATCCAAATAATCTGACCCACTGCTGTGTTTTTTTTCTGAGCAGCTGACCTAACTTCAAATATGTGACTCATGGCTCCTCCAGCAAAAAGATCAGGAGCAGTTTCTGGGTCAGTGCAAGAGCCCCACTGGATGTGAAGAAGATGAAGATGGGAGGAACCTGGCTGGGTCTGCCAGTTGGACAGCACTTGATTGATCTGGGACACAAGCACTTTTCAAACACATGGAGAAACATGGTATTTAAAAAAACCCTCATGCAATTGCTGTTATTCTCTCCAGTCTGGCATGGGCATGTATCTGCTGCTTCTCCACCCTCCGGCTTGTGAGAGCCCTGGTGGATCTAAGTCATGGTTTGTAAGATGTTGAAAACGGGGAGGAGGTCTGAAGTGTCAGCCAGGCTAATCTGGTGTCAGTGGCCATGGTTTTGTGGATTCCTGAGGGTATGCTGGCTTGGGGGGCAGATTCAAGTAAGCAAGAGTGCGAATTTCATCTCTGGCAGAACATCTTGTGGGAATGATACTAAGAGAAATGCATGTGGGTGAATGCCCTGAAATAGGTAAGATTTAAATTAGATACGACCTGGCTTCGAATCCCTGTGCAGACAGTTTGGTAGGCAGCACTGAAAAGAACTAGGTACTTTCTTTCTTTCTTTCTTTCTTTCTTTCTTTCTTTCTTTCTTTCTTTCTTTCTTTCTTTCTTTCTTTCTTTCTTTCTTTCTTTCTTTCTTTCTTTCTTTCTTTCTTTCTTTCTTTCTTTCTTTCTTTCTTTCTTTCTTTCTTCCTTCCTTCCTTCCTTCCTTTCTTCCTTCCTTCCTTCCTTCCTTCCTTCCTTCCTTCCTTCCTTCCTTCCTTCCTTCCTTCCTTCCTTCCTTCCTTCCTTCCTTCCTTCCTTCCTTCCTTCCTTCTTTCCTTCCTTCCTTCCTTCCTTCCTCTCTTTCTCTCTTTCTCTCTTTCTCTCTTTCTCTCTTTCTCTCTTTCTCTCTTTCTCTCTTTCTCTCTCTCTTTCTCTCTTTCTCTCTTTCTCTCTTTCTTTCTTTCTTTCTTTCTCTCTTTCTCTCTTTCTCTCTTTCTTTCTTTCTTTCTTTCTTTCTTTTCCTTCCTTTCTTTCTTTTCCTTTCTTTTCCTTTCTTTTCTTTCTTTCTTTCTTTCTTTTCCTTTCTTTCTTTCTTTTCTTTCTTTCTTTTCTTTTCCTTTCTTTCTTTCTTTTCTTTCTTTCTTTCTTTCTTTCTTTTCTTTCTTTCTTTCTTTTCCTTTCTTTTCTTTCTTTCTTTTCCTTTCTTTCTTTCTTTCTTTTCTTTCTTTCTTTTCTTTCTTTCTTTCTTTTCCTTTCTTTCTTTCTTTTCTTTCTTTCTTTCTTTTCCTTTCTTTTCCTTTCTTTTCCTTTCTTTTTCTTTCTTTTTCTTTCTTTTCCTTTCTTTTTCTTTCTTTTTCTTTCTTTTTCTTTTTCTTTTTCTTTTTCTTTTTCTTTTTCTTTTTCTTTTTCTTTTTCTTTTTCTTTTTCTTTTTCTTTTTCTTTTTCTTTTTCTTTTTTCTTTTCTTTTTCTTTTTCTTTTTCTTTTCTTTTTCTTTTTCTTTTTCTTTTTCTTTTTTTTTTTCTTTTTTCTTTTTTCTTTCTTTTTCTTTTTCTTTCTTTTTCTTTTTCTTTCTTTTTTCTTTCTTTTTTCTTTCTTTTTTCTTTCTTTTCCTTTCTTTTTCTTTCTTTTTCTTTTTCTTTCTTTTTCTTTCTTTTTTCTTTCTTTTTTCTTTCTTTTTCCTTTCTTTTTTCTTTCTTTTTCTTTCTTTTTCTTTCTTTCTTTTTAAATGTGCTTTTCCTTGTTTCTTTCAGATGTATTTCAGAAAATTCAGGCTGATTGTTTGCCTTATAGGGCTCAGCTGTGCTGGCCTCTGGTTTTTTTACGATTTGACTGAATTCTGTATATTCTGTGAAAACAGCCAAGATTACATATTCCCCATAGAGACTTTCAGGAGAATCGAAGGCAACTTCTTGCAGCTCCCAGATGCAGATTGCCAGAAGAACCCACCTTTCCTCGTCCTGCTTGTGACATCCTCGTACCACCACATTGATGCCAGGATGGCCATCCGGCAAACCTGGGGGAAGGAGAGAACAGTGGCTGGCAAGCGCCTGGTGACATATTTCCTCCTGGGAAGCACTGTGAATATGAGGCAGCAGGCTGATATCACTGCTGAAAGCCAAAAGTACAAAGACATTATTCAAAAGAATTTTACAGACACATATTACAATTTGACTTTGAAGACCATGATGGGAATTGAATGGATTCACAGATTTTGTAACCAGTCCAGCTTTGTGATGAAAACTGACACAGATGTGTTTGTCAATGTTTTTTACCTCACTGAGCTTCTTCTAAGGAAAAAGAGGACCACTAGGTTCTTCACAGGCTTTTTAAAACTGCATGAGTTCCCCATACGGAGAAGAAGGAGTAAGTGGTATGTGAGTAAAGAGGAGTATCCGAGAAAGACCTACCCGCCGTTTTGTTCTGGGACTGGCTATGTTTTATCCACTGATGTTGCTAGTCAGATCTATAATGTTTCAGAGAGCATTTCGTTCATTAAACTGGAGGATGTCTTCATAGGACTGTGCCTTGCCAAACTAAAAATTCACCTGGAGGAGCTTCATTCAGAGCAGACGTTTTTCCCAGAGAGGATTATGTTCTCTGTTTCTCGCTTTAAGAAAATTGTGATGTGCCATGAAGTAGAACCATCTGAGCAGTTGAGCTACTGGAATCGCTTAGTGACAGAAACCCATGGATGAGTGCTCTAGCATCTTCCCTGCTCAACTAGGAAACTGAAATGCTCCACTTTAACAGGGCTTCTCTCGAGTCCAGCACAACTCCCAATTAACTCTAGATCCATCATGTTACAGAGTTTTTAAATGGTTATTTTAATCTCCATTTCTGCCCAACAACATTCAAAACTCTCATCTCCCATTCACACTCACCTCTTTGCATCCCTTCTCTACAGAAGTTACTGTTACTTTCTGAAAGGTGCAGGCCTGCAAATCTGGCCTCCAAATGCTGCTGCTACAGGGCTGGGGACAATTCTGCAGCACCAAAATGAAAGTCAAAGTACTTCTGTTCAGAGAAGAAAATCTGCATTCTCTCCTGGCCCCCCTTGACAGGTTCCTGCATTTGCACCTAGCTGTGCAGGCATTTAAGAAAAGGTGTTTGTAGCTGTCAGGATGTTCCCCTCCTGGCATAGGGAACTGCAGCCCTGCCTTTGCAGCCAGCTCCGAGTGGGCAGGACTGTGTAGTGGCACAGATCCATTCTTCACTCTACCATTTTTTTTTGCACAAATGGAACAATTTGCCACACAGGACAGCCTTAGGTACTGCAGGTCACCCAGTGAATGTGTAAGGCATCTGCATCTGTTTCCCTGTACATACCTCCTGCTGAAATTATATGTTGTAGAGCTGGATCCATGCTCAGTGGAGAGTGTCCTGGTCTTTCTATTAAAATAGGCACTGGAGACATCTTTTACATTTGTGTCTCACTCTGATTGTTTGAAAGCTACTCTAAATGGTTTGCCAAGGCTAAATTGGAGTAGCTCACAGTGAGCTAAGCAGTGCATCTGATTTAGACATTTTTCCCCATGAGGAACTGAATGTGCAAGGGAGAAGACAGGAGAATTTTTCTCTTTTAAACAAGACCTAATGGAAAAATGTGCCTGAGTAGTCATTCAGGCTGGGAGCCTTATTGCATATTGCATTACCAAGCAAAGACTCATGAAATCACTAGGATGTTTGGAGATTTCAGAGGTAGGGAATTGAATCTTTACAGTAGATGCTGTGAAAAATACATTTGAGCTATGGGGAAGGAAAAGGAGTTCATCAAATCATGCCTGATGCAATACTCCTGTTTGATTTACTTTCATGCAAGGAAAAAGTCAGTTTTACCAGCAAAGAGTTATCAAATGTCTACACTATGTGTGAAATGTTTTCCAGAGAGCAGTAAACGTGGAGCTGCTCCCTAGGGAAATGTCAGCTGGGAGCTGAGGGGATCCAACAGCTGTCAGGGCTCAGCCCCACACACCCATGTGAGCTAGCAGGGCAGACCCACAAATGGTGGCCAGGTCCAACCAAGCGTCCTGATCTTAAGGCAGTATCATGACGGTGAGGTAGGTCTGAGGTCAAGCTTGTGATGACTGGGCCCTGGTCAGGTGGGGGTCCAGGTCAGTCCCAGTGTGGGGAATGAGGGCCAGATGCTGCCCTGGGGTAGCAGAGAAGCAGAGCTTTGGGGATGGGGACATATACTGAATATGGTAAAAAACATGGAGGAAAGACAGGGAAAGATATTTTATTACTTTGGGGTTCTTAATTTTTTATTGTTTCTTTTTATTAAGTTTGTGAGGACTGTTGAAGTGTCTCTTTTTACTTGCCTGTGTTTGAAGTGCAGGATAGGTATTTTCAGCAGGAATATGCCACATCCTGAAAAGTGTTTAATAATGGTAAAATATATTACTTTCTTCTGATGTGGAGTAACATCAGCTCATGCACTTATTTTTGACAACTGATGATGAAAGAAAGAATATTTATTTGTTCTGTTGAAGAATAATCTTAAGTTTCCTATTCAGAAAATAGCTGCATAGATGGTGTTTGCAGGGATATGGCTATCCAGGTGCTCAGGCAGGTGTTTACCTTTCCTCAATGCACAGCTTTGCCAGAGGGTGAGCAGCCCAGCTTTTGGGTTGAACAGCATCTCTCCACCTCCCACCCCAACTTTGCAGATGTATCTGCCGTTGTCTCAAAGCCCTGCTGTAGCACGTCTACTTTTGCTGCTGCCCTTAGTGGGTGCAGTGGGTCAGACTGGTAAAGCCTAGCAACGGTACTTTAATCACAATTCTTTCCATGTAACCTGCAGAAATGTCTTTTTGCCATTCATTGCTATTGTACCCAAGGTGCAAGCTGGCTATTGGTTTGATTTATGGAAAAATGTTGAGCATAAAGGTATGCTTCCTGGCTTCTCCTAGCTCCCTCTCTCATAGGGTAGAGGGTCTGTGAGACGGGACAGCATAATGCAGCCTTATGTTCATTCTGGACTCTTGTTCTCAGAGAAATAATCCTGCAATCCTTTGTGGGTCTCACTTCCACCTCTGTGCCTGCTGCCAGCCTAATCCCAGCTGGCAGGACCAGTCCAACCGTGCAGTCCCAGGAAACCTGTATCTCAGCAGAACAGCTATTTATTTACATACAGATGTGTTGACTTGTTAATCTCCTCTGGGTTTTGAGATACAAGAAGTATGGTGGTACCTGGCTTCTGGATCAATGCAGCTGCTGATCTTCTGTCAGGATGACTTGATGGCCAAATGGTGAAGTCTCCCATTAGGAGACAGTATATTGGGTTGTTTCCCCGAATGATGGCTGCTAGCGAGTGACATTAAAATATGTCTTGCCTGGCAGTTTGTGGTTTTGAATTGTCATAAAAAAAAGTTACCCTTCATGGTCAATTTTGCTATATTTCTTGATTGTGGCTTTTATTTTAGTTCAGAGTGTTCCTAATTACTTGAATATAGCTACCAAGTAGGAAGATGGTGATATACTCTGTTAATCACATTTGCTACTGCTATTTTGGGGGCTAAATTTGTAGCTACCATGCCATTGGGAATAAGGTCTTCAGGCATGTTTTAATAAAACATACCATTCTGGATATTGTTTCCAGGGAGTCTGTTTGCAATTTTAAGTGACCCATGAATGATGCCTCTCTTTATTACTGTGTTTGAAATATTTTCTCCCAACTGAATATATGTTGTTAAGCACCTAATGGCCTGCCTACCTGAAGCATTTGGCTTGTTGCTGCTAAATCTCTGATGAGGAGCAAATGAGTACAGGTTGAAATGTTACTGATTCAGATAGCCCATTCCTCTCCTTTTTGCAAAGTAGCTTCCCAAGCTAATGCTTTAAGTTGTTGCACAGTATTTTCCTCCACATGTGTTTGCGTAAATTAGAAGATGATTTAATAATTCTCTCAAATCAGTAGGAAGTTTTGAATAAGAATACAGTAAACGAATAATTCATTCTTTAAAATATAAGGTTATCCTGCTGGAAAAGGTCATTTAAGAAAAATGGATGATTGCATGTGAGGCAAATTCGTTCATTTAAAGAAAACCACTGTGCTAACCATATGTATCAGCTGAATGAAATTAGGTTTTGCAGCTTAGGCCTCAGATCATGGCTTTTAACACAATCAAAACAGTAGTAGTGGTCTTTTGCAAAAAAAGAAAAAAAGAAATTATGTTTTCCTATGAAAAACATTACAAAAAGATCGTAAATACAACTAGAACTGTAAACACGATGCTGCTGTATATGTATACTTCTTGTTAAAATTTTGTATTAACTAACTAAAGAATTTCAGCAATCTGGGGACAATTCATGTGTAAAAGTGGTGCACGATCCTAACATTTTTATGCTTTCTGGGTCAGATGATCATTAAACCAGTTTTTGTGAATAGATTTGAAAAGTTACTCTGAAAAGTTACTCCCTTGCTTCTCATTTAGCAGGAAAGAGTGTAAAAAGCAGAAGAGCTGGTAGTGTCTTAGAGTTGGTTAGAATTGTGCATTTCAGCATGCTCAGCTTTTTCAACACAAGATCAGTTTTGAGTACAGAAAAATGAATGCATTTTCCACAGCTCTTAACTCCTCAACGTATTCTTTTTTTAGGTTAGGATTTAAAAAAATGTCCCTGAAGGATCTGGTCACACAGATTATCTGATTTAATAGTACTTAGAAGGTGTAACTCTTCTCACCACTTTTGGGAATACAGAGTACATTTTTGCAACGAAACATTTGCTTTACGTAAAAGCTGAATGGAACAAAAGGGCTAACTGTTTGTTATGGATCTGACAGGGATTCTGCTATTCTTGGATTTGTGAGGGTTACTATATAATGTCAATATAAAATGCGTGACAGTATTTGCATTATTTGCATAGAACATGAGACTGTTGAGATAACTATTAAATGCATGATATTTTAGTAAAGTATTTTGTTACCATAGTTTTGTATGTTCACTTCTTGTTGGTTGAGAAGGTATTAAAATCTTGGGATGTAGTCAAGTTAGGAGGCTTGCTATTTTTCCAGTTAAAATTAGTAGAATCATAGAATCATAAGATCATTGAGTCCAAGCATTAACCCAACACTGCCAAGTCCACCACTAAACCATGTCCCTAAGCACCACATCCTTTAAATACCTCCAGAGATGGTGACCCTACCACTAAGCTGGGCAGCCTGTTCCAATGCTTGACAAACCTTTCAATGAATAATTTTTTCCTAATATCCAATCTAGACTTCCCCTTACACAACTTGAGGCCATTTCCTCTCATCCTATCACCTGTTACTTGGAAGAAGAGACTGACACCCACCTCACTAAAACTTCCTTTCAGGCAGTTGTAGAGGATGATAAGGTCCCCCCGAGCCTCCTTTTCTCCAGACTAAACAAGCCCAGTTCCCTCAGTTACTACTCAGAAGATCTGTGCTCTAGACCTTTCACCAGCTTCATTGTACTTCTTTGGACACGCTCCACCACTTCCACCTCTTTCTTGGAGTGAGGGTCCCAGAACTGAACACAGTATTCAAGGTGTGGCCTCACCAGTGCTGAGTACAGGGGGCAATCATTTCCTTGCCCCTGCTGGCCAAACTGTTTCTGATACAAGCCAGGTTGCTATGGGCATTCTTGGCCACCTGGGCATGCTGCTGGCTCATATTCAGCCAGCTGTCAACCAACACTCAGGTCCTTTTCCCTCAGGCAGCTTTCCAGCCACTCTTCCCCAAGCCTGTAGCGTTACCTGGGGCTGTTGTGACCCAAAAGCAGGACCCAGAACTAAACCTTGTTGAACCTGAATCTGTTAGATTTTCTTGCCTTTTCTAAAATGCCTTAGTTTGTACATCCAAAAATGACTAGTTGGTTTCTCTTCCTAAGGCAAATACATAATTCCCATAAATCAAGAATGGGATTGTTTTCCCAAGTATTTACCATACAATCCTTCCACATTTGCCACTTGACACAATCTACACTTGGTAGACCTTCAAGTCAAAGGCATCTTAAAAAAAACCTTATAAACAAGCTGTGTTTTGAATTCAGAACTTTTTTTTTCCAAATGACAAGAGTGTCAAGTGAAAGATTGTTAAAACCATAGCAAGGGACTTGATAGACGACAACTTTAACCACAGCTGATACCTTTCAGAAGATTAAGCTGCAACCTGAAATGGTTTTGTCCGTGTCACCACAGGCAGCACCATTTGACCGTGGTTAAATGACCTTGGGATCTGGAAGCACACTTAAAAGGGAAATGTCAAATAACTGAAAGCTATCAGATTGTTTGCCAAATGCAAGCAGTTATGTATTAAAAACTGTAACTAGGAAAGGTCCTCCTTACTACGTTTATCTTTGTTTTACTGTTTTCCCTCCCTTATCTTTCTGATATGTTGTTTGGTTGCAGCTGGAGTTAAATTCATTAGCTTATTCCTGAAAAAACAGACTTGAATTTGC